GAGCAGGTGTGAGACTCCCAGTGGCTCCCAGAAACTGAGATGGTAAAGGTTGTGCTCCCACGGGAAGCGGGGTCGGGCTCCCAAGAGGTCCCGGCGCTGCAGGTCCCGCGGGTTTGACTGGAACAGCATTCCCCCGTGGATTCGACGGTTTCTTTTTCGGGCACACATTGTCACCTTCCTTGTGTCCAAACCACCTACAGTCTGCACACCACGGAGTTTCCTGGGTGACTACTTCGAGCTTGTGCCACCCCTGGGATGATCGAAATTTGAGAAATTTTTCAATCTTCGTGCGAGCCCTGGGATGCAGATCATAACGTCGGTTGACAAGACGAGGGTTTGCTTTGTTCTTTTCAGGGGGATGTGACTTGAGCACTGATCCATATTCCTTTTCTACCGCAGCTTGCAAAAACGGCATGGCCAAAAAGGGGATATGAAGCACCCTAATCCAAAATTTCTGGGTCGTGGCATCATCTTTCCCTTTTGCCAATTCAGCAAGGGTAGCCCATGGCCGATACAAGACTTTACACGGCTTACCACCAACAAAGGCGCCCTCTTCAGATTTAAGCGTCTCGACAATCCAATCTCTCAGGGCGTGGTTGGGAGCTAAATAACTTATCATATTAGCTCCTTCGGGTCTGATGCGACCTTCTTGTCCCCGAGCAATGGCCAAATCCCATCCACCTTCAATTGTTCTCAGCCATTGCTCTTTGACAGCGAAGGTCGCATCAGCACCGGGTCCTTGGAACACGACCATCACTCCATGACGGCGGAGGTATTGTATYGTAAGGTCGGTGGCATCATTGTGTATATCAACAATCACCGTGTCTTTCTCTTTAGGGTCCCTGCGTGTTGTTATATAACGGGCCGCTTGGGCGGAATCCTCCTCACCAGTGAGAAAGCAGTGCCGTAGCATGTCACCAAGGCGATCATTCTGTTGCATCTGCTCCCCCATTGTTCGTGGAGGGAGATTCAATCTTCAGTCAAAAGATGGTGAACAAAGTAGAGGATAGGATATCTAGGCTTGATGTAGCGGTCAACTTTTAACGAGCGATCCAGGAGTGGCGACAGAGCATGAGCGTTAGCAGCAAGGTGGGGGATCAAACCACGGGTTTTTAGTAACGGTAACAGAAGACGAGTGTCAGTAGTGAGGCAAAGGGTCAAATTATAGGTTTTACCAACAACAGTGGTGAGAGTGAGCACATGTCAGAGAGGGTGATACGATAAACAAGTTTGATAAGTAAGGCAGTGCCTGTGGCTGAAGGCAAACGTAACAGTGCAAATTACCGACAAGGAAGAACACAAGCGCATTGGGCTAGGAAGAACACGGGAGTCGCGGGCAGGGGTAGCGGCAGAAACGGAACTCAACAGTGTGAATCATTGAGCAGGCAACCAACATCGAAAGCAAAAGGTGGGTCAGTAAGAAGGAAACAAAAATTGTAATGAACAGGACATGGACAGCGAGAAGGTTTGACAAACAAGGGTGGATTAGTAGTAAAAAGGGAACGTAGCGGTGTCACGAAACTCCTTAGCAAGGCAAGGGAGGAATCAACGAAAAACAACTTTTGCCTCAGGTCACATCGAAATTCTTTACCAAATTTAAAATAAAAATTTTAATCAAAAAATAATTTTTATTTTTTTATTTTTTTATTTCTTTTTTGCCCGGCCGGGCAAGTGGACCCGGGCCACTCTGGTAGCCTAGGTCGCACTATGAATGGTTTGGTTGGCGTTTTGCAGGAGAGCGCTCAGGTGCCCTAGGTGCCCTTGGTGCCCTAGATGCCCTAGGTCCCCTAGGTGCCCTAGGTGCCCTTGGTTGCAGAAGACAGTAGAGGTGCCCTAGGTGCCCTAAGAATTTTTTTTATTGTTTTTTTTTTTTTTTTTTTCATGAGGCCCCTTGCAACTGCAGGAGCATTACTGCCTTTGGGGCTCGTTAGACACTCCTCGAGGACGCAAAATCCCCAAGGAATTGTTTGTTCCACTTATCCTCGGGGATGCAATTGGAAAAAAATAAAAAGTCAAAACACTCGTAAGGAAATTCCTCGGGCAATAGGACTTTCCCCAGCCATTTCTTCCTATTGCCCAAGGTACCTCGCGAGCTCCCTTGGGCACAAGGAATCCGCGTTTCACGGAGAGGAGAGGGCACACTCGTAGAGAGACGTTACAGCCGAGAATCTGGATCATGGCCGCACCCTATTGGCTGAAGGCCTGAAGCACAACTGTTTTTTTTCTTTTCTTTTCTTTTCTGACATTGCTGTTCGGGAATATCCTCGGGCAACGTCCCCAAGGACAGGTGGAAATGACCCAAATTTCCTTTTGAACCCTTAGGAATTTTTCCAATTGCCCGAGGATTTCAAAAGGAGCGTCTAACGACGCCCTCTGTGTCTGTTGTAAACTGTCGCCACAACCACCCCTTTTCCACCCAGATGAGAAGACCCAATTTTTATTATTATTTTTTTTTAAACGGGCCCAGTGCCCAAGGCTGATATTCCAAATGATAATATTGAGGCTGGGGTCCTCACAATCTGCCTGGAGACACCGAACCAAAAACACCAATTGAAAGTTGAAACAGCTTTAGGTCTATAGCAAACAACATGACGCACACTGACATGTGCGTGCATGTCCATGTTCATCCTTGATGCATGTGTGTGCTTGTTCATTCACGTCTGTACTCCTTAGTATATGATAAGGATCTATATGTGTTTGTGCATGCATGCATGGGAGCACATGGCCATTACAAGCAACCGAGTACACTCCAATTGTCATTACAAAGAAAAAAGAAAAGCCTGTGGCCCGAGGCTCCACACCACCTCTCCTAAGATTTTGCAGAACGGATCTCATGCGGAGCAAAAAGGTCCTCTGTTTTTCATTGTTATCAACTATAATTCATCATCAGGCACCTGCTCTGACACCCGAAATTGTACCAGATGGAGGTCCTCTCTCCTGTGGCTGTTTGACTGGGTGTCAACGAGTGAAAACACCGGCCTCCGGTGTCAACGAGTGAAAACACCGGCCTCCTGTACGTTCCAGCTCTGGCTGCAGCTGCAGCACGTAGGCCGGTACCAGTACCGCCCTCAATTTACCAAGCTGTGGTACCGGTAGCTTTCAGGCTCGGCAAAATTCAAAATTCAGGCTCGTACATTTAGGCTTGGGTGTACTGGTGGTTTAAACCATACTTGCAAGTGCACCACGTGCGGACGTGCGTGCGGCGCACGACCCGTCACCCCCCTCCCCCCCCAAAAAAAAAGGCCGGGGGTCGAAACGGTGCGTTCGAGACCCCCCCCCAAAATTATAAGCGGGATGAACAAAAAAATTGCAGGAGTGCTGCCTCACCGTGCTCCTCCTCCCCTTCCTCGTCCTCCGTGTCTCCTCCCTTCTCCTTTTCGTTTCCTCCTTTTCGTCCTCCTCCTGCCCTCGATGTCTCCTCCTCTTGTTCGTCCTCCTCCTGCCCTTCCTCATCCTCCTTGTCTCCTCCTCCTCCTCGTATTTCGTCATCTTCCATGCTTCCTCGTCTCCTTGCCTTCCTCGTGTCCTCCTCTTCCTCCGAGTGGCCGTCCATGTCTCCTCCTCCTCCCGCCCTTCCTCTTTTCCCTCCGTCCATCTCTTCCCTCCCCCATCTCTGCTCCTCCTCGTCATCGTCCTCGCTATTCTCGTTGTCCTCCTCGGCCACATCCTCCTCCTCCTATCCATATCCCCCTCTGATCGCCATATCCCCAGCGTCCTGTCATACGGCCCCCCCCTCACCCCTCCCCCCCAAAAAAAAAAATAATAATAATAATAAATAAATAAATAAATAAATAATAAAAAACCTGCGCGATCCCTCACAGGCACCCCCCGCACGGAACTCTGCACGAATGTGAGGCTCGTGCGGTTGCAAGTATGGTTTAAACCACCATGACCTTTCCCTCTGTTGGAAAACCGGGAAAATATCCTACTCCTAACAAAATGAAGGCTGCGGCCGACGCCGTTGATAAATCTCATTCTCATCAGCGGCCGTCGTTTCGTTTCGGCCTCCGAAAGATTCGGAGGCCCGACGGCGGCCCACATGGGAAAAGGTAGTGGTGGTTTAAGAAAAGGTAAAAAAAATTGACCATTTCTCGACTTATGCGTTTCATCCTTGTGCGGAGGCCATGCTTTTTTGTTTTCTTCTTTTTTTCTAATTTGGACCATTTCTAGACTTATGTGTGTCATCCTTGCGCAAGGGCCATGCTAATCTTCTCTGTATCCAAAAAAAAAAAAAAAAAAAAAAAAAAAATCTCTCTAGGCTACCAGCCGTGCCGCCCCGGTCACCCCGGCCGTGCAAGGACCCAGGGAAGGTCCCAGTCAAAAAAACAAAACAAAAAAAACAAAAAAAACCGAAAAAACGTATGTTACGCAGAAAAATAAACTGAACAACTTTTGCCTCAGGGTCACATCGAAATTCTTTACCAAATTTAAAATACAAATTTAAGTTAAAAATATTTTTTATTTTTTTATTTTTTTATATCTTTTTGGCCCGGACGGGCAACTGGACCCGGGCCACTCTGGTAGCCTTCTCTGTATCATTCCGATTTTATTTCTTGATTTATGCCTGTCATCCTTGCGCAGGGGCCATGCTAATCTTCTCTCTCTGTATCCTTCCAGCTTTAACAAATGTCCCGAAGGACTATCATTCCGGTTTAAGAGATGTGTTTGGGTCATAAGTCTCTGTTTTCAGACGAGGAAGGGGTGTCGCATAAGCTCTTGCCACTGTGTTATGGGCCTTCGCTTATTCTCAAGGTTCTAGGGAAAAAAAAAAAAAAAAAAAAAAAGGGGGGGATTGTGAGTTTGTCCCCCCCTCCTCGTACGTTGTCGATGTGCATCCACAAAGACTTTTTCCTGTTTTGAAAATTTCTTTCTGGCACCAAAATCTTCTGGTGTTCTCGGTCTCAAAGTATTTCCCTGCTGAGGAAATTTATGTGGTGCCAGCATTTTCTGATGTGCTCTGTTGCAAACACTTCTTTCCTGACATAATCCTTTGTTTGCAGGAGCTGCTGGATAAGGAAGAGGGAATGTTCAGAGGCATGGTGAAGAGAGTCGGAGCAGCCGGTGAAGCGCAGCTACGCCAGACTGCGAAACAGAGCGCAGAAGAGCGAGAGACGAGGAGGAGGAGGATGGAGGGGAAGTAATCGTGGGCCGCCTAAACCGTCCAAAGCAAAAAGTAGCATGGGCATTCCTTCCCCCTCTTTGCCCTAAATGGCATGCAAGGTCCAGAGGGATCTGAAGCAAAAAAAAGTGCAGAGGAGAGAGAGAGGAGGAGAAGAGAGGGGAGGTCCTAACCCATGGGTTGTCTCAACCATCTGCAGCCGAAGTATCATCAGCATCTGTAGCTCCTTTTCCTCCGATGATGTCTCAAGGTCCAGAGAGATGCTGGAGAGAGAGAGAGAGAGAGAGAGAGAGAGAGAGAGAGAGAGAGAGAGAGAGAGAGAGAGAGAGAGAGAGAGAG